TTAGAAGGAATTTACTAACTACCTATTTTTACCTGGGACTGTTATTGCTTTGCTAATTCCTAAGATAGTTGTGGCCTCTGAAAAAGGGAGGAAATAGTAGTGAGGACAAAGATTTGAAGTATCTGAGAAAGTATGATAGGATCAACTGGTCAGACAACTTACTGAGAAGCCCTACCCAAACAGTGGTCCTTCCCAGCTTGTTGACTTACCTGAGTTGGAGCTCTCATGAGCAACTGTTGTAGCAGAGGTTACTACAGCAGTGCCTAAATAGGGAAAAGAGAACAAGGTGACATTCTCCTATGCCTTGGAAGAGCAAAAGATACTTCCTGTACTCATAACTGACATGAGGAAACATCTTCCATGTCCACAAGCTGCTTTTTCAAGACCAAGGGTAATGTAGTGACTAACATCCCTACTGATTATTTCTTTTTCCCAAGCATGAGGGTTACATCAAAGGCATTTCCCATGTTTACCTGTCTTACTTCCTGGTGCTTTGGTGGTGGCTCCTAATTAAAAAAAAAAAAAATGGTAAGAAAATATATTTTAAATTTTAATTTTGTCTTTTCCTTTATAAACAATAGTATATATGTCATTTCTGGATTTTTTTTCCAGTGCTGAGGATCAAACCATTGGCTTTACATGACTGAGCTATACCCCTAGCTGAATTTTTATCTTTATGATAACCGAATGATCTCTATGCTGAATAGAAGTCAGTAATGCTATATAGATAAATCTCTTTTTAAAGGGGAAACCATTTCAGAGCCAGGACTATTGTAAATCTTCTTTCCAGTGATCTAGAACCCTGATGAGGTTAGTCTCCAAGAAAGTAAAGACTTTTAGTTATCTGTGCCCAAGTAGGTCCAAATTAAAAGAGAAATCCTGGTTCCCTTGAAATATAACAGCCTTAAAAAAACTCTTCTCCATGTTAAAGAAATTTTCTGTCCTATGTCTGTACATTTTCTGTAATTTAAAATTATTAAAAAGATTTTAAAAAATATTAATACCAGCTTTCTCTAATAAATCTATCAACCTGGCATCACACAACAGCAAAATTAATGAAAACCCCATGATCTTCACCTGACTTTATTTCTGCTCCAGTGATGTCACTTCTTCCAGAGAAAGTTGTGATCTCTTGAAAAAGTAGAGAATGCCAAATAAACTAGGTATTGAGGAAGAGGAATGAGCTAAGGTGATATGAGCACAATTGAAAATTCCTTGTCATAGGTGAAGTCAGAAAATGAAGCCCTTTTGATTGTAAAAGTGATGTCAAAACTCAATGCACAAGTTTAATTGTCTAAAATTGAGGATTAAATATTTTTGACTTAATAAAAATGTCTTTCAACAAATCATAACCAAAAGCAAATTGATAATTTTTCCAATTTGAGGTATTTCTGCATAGGATTTGATAGAAGGAATACTAAATGCTTTTCTTTAATGTTTCCCCAATTGGTTTCCTGTTGGTACAATAGATAAGTACACAAAAAAGTTTAATAAGTGAGCTGAAAACTTTGAATATCAGAGCAAGTAAATTTTTATATATACACATGCATGTATACTGGTTCCACAGGGTGTCTCCCCCTCTCTCTCACACAAGCACCCATACTGAAAACTGTAGAATTCAGCTAAATGCTGCTGATTGAGAGTTGTAGCACCTGCAGAGAAACTATCATCAGATTTGGAGCAGTCAAGTTTAATGCTTAGATTTTTCAAACTTATTTTGATTCACTTGAAGCAGCTCTAAGTATAATACAAACTCCCTTAAGGATTAAGTTTAGAGAGTCCTAATGCCAATGATCTCAAATCACGGGGCCATTGTATTCTCACCAGTTTTGAAACCAGTTCCAGTAGTTCCAGTCTCTTCCGTAGATGTTGTAGACTCTGAGGGAAGAAGTAAGAGAATGATAAATCTGGGACTGTGGAACACTAGGAGGAGCTAGTGCCATTTTATCATAGCAGCCCTAAAGGAAGTATCATGGCATTTGAGATTCAATAAAAGGCATTTTCTTCTTGTTAACCTGTGTTAAAATTGCAGGTATAATCTTTTTTTTTTTTTTTCAGAAAATTTTCCAGTGATACTTAAAATTCAAAAAAAAAAAAAAAAGTAAACCATAAGGCATCACTTCTCCAATTAATCTTGGGAGCATCTGTGTGGCCTTAAAGCACTGGATGCCCTTTCCTCAGAACAGTTTCTCTCAAAAAATAATGGAAAATAAACAACTGCCTAGTGTTCCATTCCCCAGGCCACCTGAGGGTAGATACACTGCTACTGGGTTTCCCTTTTACTATGCAGCAGGGGGAAGGATAGGACTTTAGATCACTGTTTCAGTTCCAGGGATATATACCCTTAGAATGACAGAGGGAGAAAATAAAGTATGGTTTTAATATTTGTAAGGGGATTCTAATAGTTCCTTTGTGAAGCATTCTAGTAAGAAAAAATAGAAAACATAGAATAAGTGGAAAAAAAATGACAATGTGAAAAACTATGGAAGAATAGTTAAATAGATGAGGACTGGAAGTCAAAGGAATATATACAACATGCTCTTCTTTTTTTCAAAAGAAAAAGTCTCTAAGCCAGGATCCTGAGGACAGCCTGGCAGACACTCCCCAGGCCATGGAATTCCCGGGCAGAATAACTGCTCAAATTGTTAGGGCATAATGTGGCCCCAGAGAGAATGTTGGCCCCTCCGGCATACTATTCATTCACTACAACAACCCAAATACAGATATGAGGAGAGCCCTAGACCTCAACCTGAAAAGCTTACCAAACAGATCTGCTCGAGTGGTCCTGTGGTCTCCTGCAAAAGTTGTGGCCTCTGAGAGAAAAAACAATGGAAGTTATAAAAACTGCACAGAATGTAATGGGGGTCTAATAGAATGCATTGACCAAAAGGTTATGTTCAGGATTCCTGACCTGTGTTGGCACTTCCAGGTTCCAGAGTTTTGCCAGAGATTCCCTCTGTAGTGACTAAAATAAGAAGAGCATTGTGGTTATTTGGTCTAATCATGATCCTTCATAAAATGGGTATAAATTCTTGAAACAAAACTTTGTTTCTTCAAATATAGCAATACATTTTTACATTTGAGCTTATATATTTAAGATGTAATTATACTTTTATACACTATTCCCTTCCAAGTTTAGAGAGAAAGTCCTCCGCTACCAGTTCCTTTTGTATAGTTTAGTTATAGGGAGGTGAATTTGGACCCAAATCATATTCATACATGTCAGGAAATGGGCCCTATGATCCCCTTATGAAAGGTCCTGAACAAAAGACATGAGAAGGAAATGTTAAACATTTCTGAGCTGTATTTATTGATATCAAATGTTGGGCTGATATTTTTAATATGGCAAATGGAAATTTAAGGATATCTGTATGTTTCAGGCAAGACTATTGGAACATCATTAGAAAGTATAGTTTGTGCCTCAACAGAGCTCACCTGTGATTAGTTCCTTTCTTGGTGTTTCACCTTCTCCTACAGAAGTTGTAGCTTCTAAGAAGGGGTAAAATAAGAGATAGATAATTGGGAAGCCATGGTAGTTCTCCCACAGAGGGGGACATGGAAGGAAAAATCTCATTGAAGAGGGACTTGTGGAAGATTCGCTGGCACCTTAATGTCTTACCTGTGTTGGAACTGCTAGGGGCTACAGTAGTAACAGGGGTTACCCCAGTGGTGGCTGTAAAACAAAGGGTCTGAAATCATCACAGTGGTTCACTGTGTTTGTCTCCTTAAGACCTGTTTCTAGAAAGAAGCTTGGTGTAGCATTTTCAAAGAGCTATTTCCTTGCTTCCCAGACCTTTTCCAGAATATGTTCTGTATAAGAAAATACCTAATGTAACTGAGAACCATTCTGCAGAAAAGTATATCTCCAAACAAGTGAGCCTATAGAGTCATAATTTATACTAAACCCCATAGTTTAGTATAAACGGTAGTCTGTTCAGCTTCACCTGCTCTGGATCCGTTTTCAGAAGTACTGCTGGTTTCTGTTGAAGTTATTGCCTCTAAGGGAGGAAATAATGAAAATGGTAAAGTTTGGGAATTTGGGATCCTGAGATATATAAGTATAATTATTATCATCTGAGCAGGTCTACTAACTATGTTATAAAGTTAAATAAATATGATATCCTTCTCATTAATCAACTTGTGTAGAAACTTACAAATATAAGGACTGGCCTAGAGAACTCCCCTATAGTACCCAACACACACACACAAAAAAATAAATGGATCACCATAGCATTAAATTCTTGATCAGTATCATAAGTAGCTACATGAGCTGATACCATGGGAAGACCTTTCCTGAGAAGGTCTGCCTCTGAGGGAAGGGACACACGAATAACGATTTTATTTCCTAGCCCACCCATCGACCACTGTTACTCTCCAGGCTCTCTTCGTACAGCCCACTAAACATGGAAGAGTATCTCATCTCCCCCTTACCTGTTTCACTTCCAGTCCCAGGTTTCCTTGATGTGACTGAGGTAGCTTAAAATAAGTAAAAATAAGAAAGATGAATCCATCAACTACCTTTTTTCTTATCTACTACTTGAAGTATTTTGATATTCCGGTATTTCAAAGAGAACTTCTGAACTCTAAAACTTTCAAATGATGATTTTATTTGTTCTACTCTGGTCTAGCTTGGAACTCTGTGTACTACTGATGACTCCAGGTAAAATCACAGTGACATCCATTAAATAGATGGAAAAACTTTAAAACTGTACATTTTTTAACCTTATCTTCTCTGCACTATTGATGTATCACTAAGCAAAATATTCAAACATCTCTTTCCTAACGTAGTTCACATTTTGCCAACTGGAGACAGCAAAGAACAATCATGCATTAGATGTTAGTAAATTCTGTGGGGGGAAAAGGCAAGTTGCATAAAGATGGGGGTCCTGATAGCCAAGGGATGACTAGCAGGTTGCTCTCCTCCCTGCTGTCCAGCAGATAGCTCTGTAAACTCCGGTTCCTGGAAATCCAGATGGATAAGGACACTGCCGCTAACCCCAAGTGAAATTATGACAGTACCCGTTGAAGTGAACAGTGTCACACTCAAACTAAATTTTTTAAGCATTTCCTTAGTGTCTTCTTTCATGGGGAAGAACAAAGATCTGTGTTTCATGTAATTTGTATTTGCAAAGGAAGGAACACATAAAATAAACAAGCATAATATATGATAGATGGTAGCACATGATAAGTACACTATTCTGAGGAATCATAATGAGCAGAGTGGAGATAATGGGGAGTAGTGAGCAGCTTCTATAGGTTGGTGAGCCTCATCCAGGTGTCCAAAAATCTAGCTCAAATAGAACACAGAGGAAATACCAACTTGGATAACCATGTTTCTCAAGTTCCTTAGAAGAACTACCTGGTATTGTCAGATGAAGATATCATGCTTCCTGACCAGATGTAACCTTCTTTCTTTAACCCACCTCCATATTTATTTATTTACTTAAGGACACAAAACAGGGAAATGATAAGCTTTGTTAGTATGAGACCTAAGAGTTCTTACCTCTTGGCCCTTCAGATTGGCTGGTCTCACTTCCTCCTGTGGAACTTGTGGCCTCTGAAAAAAAAAAAAAAAAAGCATTATAAAGTCTGGAATATGGGGAAGTACATGGTTATATTACCTTAGGAACACATTACCTGATAAAGCACTTGGGGAACCTCTCACAATTGCTTTTGACTCACCTGTGTTGTGATTCCCAGGTTCCAGAGTCTTTCCAGAGACTACACTAGTAGTAGCTGTTACAGAAAAATAGTCATGGGTCATTTCCTTCTCAACATAAGGTAGCAAGCAAATATATGAATAAAAATCTATGTAATTGTTTACTATTTCAATAAACTTGGCTTTAAATGACAGAAGATGATCTTGTATGTTCTTCATATAATATTGTTCCCACCAAAAATCTACCAAAGGAATTTTTAATTATAGTATCCACTCCTGTAGAATTCAGTAACGGAGAGAGACTCTCTCTAGATCATCTGTGTAACTGTCAAATAGTTGCATGATTTCATTCGGGGGGAGCGGGGAGGAGAGTCTACTAAAACATCAGAAATAATGAAACTTTTAGTTCATGAACTTTAGTCAATGAACAGTGGTAATATTTTTTATAATAAGTTTGAATAGGGGAGAAGTAAGTGATCTGGATACATTTCACCAGCTTTTGAGTATTATTAGAAATGAATGTAATGGCCTATCAGTACTCACCTATGGCTGTTCCCCCCCTTGTTGCTCCAGTTCTTCCTAGAGAAGTTGTGGCTTCTGAAAGACAGAAAACAGGATAAACATTTGGAAAATATTCCAAGCCCATGAAAAAATATGATATTATTTCTATAAAGAATAACACCAGAGGAGAAATCTCATTATGGGAGGATAACTCAAGAGCTCCCTGACAACCTGAGACTCACCTGTACGGGAACTGCCAGGGGCAACAGTTGTGCCAGGAACCACCCCAGTTGTGGCTGAAACACAAAGAGGACCATGGTTACCATGGCACTCAGTGTTTTGTTCCTAAAGCTCTGCCTCTAGAAAGAGGTTAAGCTTGTCTTCATCATGGCTAGTTGGTTTATTCCTGGGTTCTTCCCCGATACGGAGCCTGATATATTTTCTCATTAACCATTGTAGTAAGAAAACAATGAGAGTGACAATGTTCTCAACCTTCCAGGCATTCTGAGTCAGGGAGACAAGGAGGGCTTCTCCCACACACCCGTTTTACTCCCAGTGACTTGACACTCTGATGCCACAGTGGGACTTGCTATGGCGGGGACACAAAGGAAGGTTTCAATGTGCTGAGAACTCCAGACATTGTGAACATATCTGGCTCTTCATTTATGAAAATCAAACATTTGTACAGTGCAGTTGTGTTTCTTGGGTTCTTGTAGCTCCTCTATATTTCTCAGGAATAGGAAATTTCATCACCCTTTCCCTCTCAAAAGATTGTGATATTTGTGATTCCACAACATAAATTACTCAGAACAATTAGTGTGACCATCATATCTGATCATAAGAATTATAACTGTTATTCTGGACTCATATTGAAAGCTTTTCAGGAAAATTTTCAAAATTGAAAAGGAATTAGTTGACCAAAATCTTCAGTATTAGTAAATATATCTCCAGAAACTTCTCTTTGCATGCTCTCCTAGGATTGCTGTGATTCACGATAACCACAAAGACATGAGTTTCTGCCCCTCACCTGTTTTGAATCCAACTCTGGTGGTGCCAATACCTTCTGTGGAGGTTGTGGCCTCTGGAGGAGGAAGTGGGACAACACTAAGTTCTGGTGATTTGGGATAATGGAACAAGTTATTTTGTACTATTTTTATTAGAGTAGCCCTACAAAAATACATAATTTCCTGTGAATGTCTGTAGAGATGATTTCTTGTTATTTCAACTCTGTTAGACATTTCTAATTGAACAGATGTCAGAGCCTACTCCAGTGATATTTAAAAACAAGACAAAATAAAAACAGCAATCTGTCCCAATCCATCATGGAAGCATAGTGGTCTTACAATGCAAGATCCTCCATGAGGATTTAATGCTCCAAATGACAAATCAAGAATGTCACACTCTCATGTCATCTCAGCTGAAAATTCATAGCTGCCTTTAAAATGAACATCTCTAGACTCTAGATGTTATGCATTTTTTACTTCTTGTTTCATGTTTCTCTGGAGTAACCAGAGTGACTGTAGAGGGAGGAAAATCGGAGATGAATATTTTTTCTAAATATCACTTGTGATACTTTGGATATTTAACATGAAATATATATCTTGGGTTCTTATAACATGCACACATAACACACGACATGCCCAAAACATTCATTTAAGAGTAAAATCCAGATTGGACTTCACTTATGTAACATTACCTGTGTTGGAAACTTCTGAAGTGCTTTTGACTTCAGGAAACACAATGGTGGTATCTGTGAAAAGAAATTTCATAAACTAGGCATAGTGAGAAATTCAACTCTGGCTACCAGGATCAGGACTCAGGAATACTGGGCTGAAGCACCCGAATGCAGGCAGATCCAGAGGGATTAACACTTGAGTTTGGCCTAGCATGGGGTGTCCTTGAGAAAACGTCATCAGTCCCAAATAATGGAACCCATAGTCTCAGAACAATGCTTACCTCCTGGCAGTTCTGTTCTAGTGGTCCCTATGCCAGTTGTGGCCCCTAAGAGATAAAGGAAGGAAAGGAGTTAAGAACTAACATAACTGAGCTACTGTATCATCTAAATGACCCCTTCCTGGATTACTCAGTATGTGGTGATTTACCTGTGATGTAATGTCCAGGTTCCCGAGTTTTACCTGAGACACTACCAGAAGTTACTAAAATAATGAAGAAATGGTACTCATGCCAAGCTTGAGCATTGCTATTTAAAATTCTATATTTCCTACCTGTATTGATTTCCTTTGAGCTTTTTTTTAAATTTTATGTGACAGCAGAATGCAATTCATATCACACATATAGAACAATTTTTCATATCTCTGATTATATACAAAGTAGAGTCACACCATTCATGTCTTTGTACATGTACTTAGGGTAATGATGTCCATCTCATTCCACTGTCTTTTCTACCCCCATGCTCCCTCCATGACCCTCCCTTCCCTTTGCCCTATCAAGAGTTCATCTATCTTCCCCTCCTAATCATATTATGAATCAACATCCTTATATCAGAGAAAACATTTGGCATTTGGTTTTTTGGGATTGGCTAACTTCACTTAGCATTATATTCTGCAACTCCATCCATTTACCTGCAAATGCCATAATTTTATTCTCTCTTAATGCTGAATAATATTCCATTGTGTATATATACCACATTTTCTTTATCCATTCATCTATTGAAGGGCATCTAGGTTGGTTCCACACTTTAGATATTGTGAATTGTGCTACTAAAAACATTGATGTAGCTGTGTCCATGTAGTAATGCTGTTTTTAAGACCTTTGGGTATAGACCAAGGAGTGGAATACCTGGGTCCAATGGTGGTTCCATTTCCAATTTTACAAGGAAACTCCATACTGCTTTCTATATTGGCTGCACCAGTTTTCAGAATTAATGCATATGTTTCCTATTTAGCATTTCTTTCCCATAGCAAATTTTCTGATGAAGTTCTAGACTCTTGATCTCTTTTTTAAGCTTTAGTTCCAGGAAATAAGTTTCTCAGTGTTGTTAAATAATATTTTGTAGGAGGCCTTGGCTTCTAACTGAGCACTTTTATTGGGCCCAACAAAGTAAACCAACGAAGAGTTTAATCACAGTAACCAGTAATGAAATTCTGGTTGGTTGCAGAAGCTTGGTAGTCATAAACAGTTGACTGGTTAAAACAGTAACAAATAAAGTTATTTACTATTTCTTTCATTTTTCCATAAATCTTTCTGATTATGTTGTTAGAGTTCTTAGAGTCTGCTCTGGATCAGGGAGCTGATAGACATGATTAGTGAATCATTCTTTTGTTTTGCTCAAATAAATTTTACTAAGTATATTTGGTCAAGGAACTTTTCCTTTTCACAGTACCCCTGTATCTATCTGCCTGCTAGAGATATCATTGCCTGGTACCTTTATGGATTCTCTGGGGTAGAACAAAATTTCAGGGTCCTAATTCTTGTTAACTATTATTCAGTAGCTGTTTGTCATTTACAAAAGTACTTAAGATGGAGGAATAAGATGGTGTGGCTACATTCTAGAAAATACTATTTACTGGGGAAAAGTGCAGTTAATGACTTTACAGCCTCAGTTGGGACTATTCCATTTCCTTGGAGGGATGTGGTAGCCTCTGAGACAGGAAAAGAAAGACATAGTTGGAAAAATATCAAGTATTCTGGATTAGTATAGGTATGATCTGGTATAGAAATAAAACCTAAGGAAGTATCTCCTTCAGAGAAGTCCCCAAAGAAAAAATACACCCAGCTTTTCATCACCTGTGTTCAAACTTCCAGGGGCAAGAGTTGTGCCAGTAACACCTGAAACAAGAGCCCAGTGGTCACTTCAGTGAATCATTCCATGTATGTTCTGCATTCCATGTATGTTTTCCTTTGTTACAACGGATAGCCTTTTGGAAGCACTTTGCAGATACATAATCCTCTGAGTTTTTCCCTTTGGACTGTTCCATCCCCCAAACATATAGAGTGACTTTGTCAGGAGATACAGAAAAGGACATCTAGAACAAAGATTAAAGATGATTTTCTCTCACGTTTACCTGGTTTATTATCAGGCTTATTCTTAGTTCCTTAGCTCTCTGCTTCAAAAGGGATTTTGCATGTGCTGACTACCAGAGAAAGTGGGAAGCCATTGAGTATTACTCCTGGTTGGTGGAATCAAGGAATCTGAACAAGATCTTTACCATTGGTTGGGATTTGTCTGTTAGAAATCTAGGAAAAGTCACATCAAGGAGCAGCAAGGTTTGGGTAAATACAGAAAAATGTTGCATAAATATAGAATAAAAAATAGCTGTAAAGTTAGCCTGAATTACAAGCTAAATTCGAGAAAATAAATTTCAAATGACTAGTTGGTTAAATAAATTCTTAGAAACTTTATAACACTATCAACAAATAATTCGGTGATGCCAAATATTGGTATGAATGTGTGAAAGAACATAATGAGAAATAAGTTTGGGAAGTAGATTAGTACTCAAATGGTGGACTAAGGGATTTAGAATTTATTTGAAGGACAGTGGGTAGCTACTAAAATATACTGATGTCGGGAATGACATTAGCAGAGATAATAATATAGAAACACTGAACACTACTGCACCTGACAATAGAGAAAACTTGCCTCAATACTCCAGACTAAAGGTTAGTGTGGGTATGGATGCAGTAACTCCTTCAACTAAGGAAACAGAAAATAGAAAGAATTCAGATCTTGAAATCAAGAAGACTACACTGGTTTAAAGCAGGTTGAAATCTCTGAACCTCAATTTCTTCACCACGAATTAGGAAAGATAATGCCCACATGATTCACACAAGATATTGAAACAAGGCACCCAAATGAAATTCAGATAGATTGTGTGCTTCTGATCTACAAAGTTCACTTGATTGATACATAATAGATGACGCATGGTCTTTCAACAAAGGCAGAATCCAGTAGATCAAGTGGACAAGTATGATAGCTGAACACCTCATCAGATAAGGTTCATAATTGTAAAAAAAAAAAAAAAATACAAAACTCTGCTTTCAAGGAGCTTATATTCTAATGTAAATGCTAAAAGAACTAGGAAGGCATAATAATTAAGAAAAAGTGAGATGTTCTGAAGAATGAACTTCTATTGCTTATCTTTTAAAACTATTAAGTTTAATAAGAGACATTAGAATGCAGTAAAGGTAAATAATTTTCATGATACTAAAGTGCCAAGGTCTCTAGTAGTGCTGCTCTTAAGTTAAGGGGACATTCTTGGTGTTATTTTTGTTTGAACTTGTATACTTATGAACTTGTATACTTATGTACAATAAGTATAGAATTTAATAATTATGTAAGGGAACCAATACACATTTATTATGTTTTAAGACAGAGGAACAGAAAAAGCAAAAGCCCTATGCTACCAAAACCTAAGTTGGTATTCTTGTTTAGTTAATATGATAAATTCAGATTTCTGTTACCATGTTTTCTATTCTAGTTAATGTGACCATTTTTCCCCAAATATACATTTATAATCTCATATTATCTCACCTTCTACTGTAGTCTGATTCGATGGCTCTAAAATTTAAAAACAAAAATATATTTACAAATGTCCATTTTTATCTAATTAAATTCAAAATGATCAATTTATGTATGAGGGAAATACAGAAAAAATTATTATAATCTGTTAAGAATGTCATATTCCCTTATATACTTTCAACATTTCAGTTGGCAGAAACTTATTTTTATGTGACTTTCATTTCAGTTTACCTTGAATGTATATACCTGGAATATCACGAACACCTAATTGAAAGATTAGATTCACGTTTCCATTAGAAAATATACTTGAATTTTATTTTTAAAATTCATTTCAGTGCTTTAAATGTTATGTAAAATTTATAGTAAAAAACATATACATTACTTCTCTAGTAGACTATCTTAGAAATTTAAGTAGGAATGAGAGATCTTTGAGGGAGATAAACTACAAAGTGTTTTAAAGAATCATCTATGATTAGAAATTATCAAACTGAAAACAAATAATTGCTTTTTTCCCCAGGTAAAATGCTTGCACACATTTAAATTTTGTTTCAATTCAGCTAAACATTAAATCTTGAATTTAGAAAATGCTAAAAGTGATGAAATACATACTGTTCCCCAATAGTCACTCACTTGTAGCTATGGCATTGTATTAAGATGACCAATATATAATAAATATCATGCCAATTCATTTACATTGATATAAATATGGCTTGAATAAGGAATCATTATTAATCTAGTTTGAAGTAAATGATCAAATTATTATTTTCTAGAGATCAGTTAGCAATAAGATCAAATTACCTAAGTGGACTTAATAACAGTAGTTATAATAAATACAGAATAACTCTTGGCTAGGAAAATGTGTGAGCAATCTATTCCTTAAACTAATAATGAAAAATTTAGTCCCTAAAGCCTACCTTCTATTTGATACAAATTGAGAAATGACTATGATACTGAGTGTATTATTATTCTTCAAGTTTAGATAATTACTGAAGACTTGCAAAAATAATTTAGTCCATTTATTTAGTGTTAGGAGAAACAAATTGCCCTCTAAGCATCTGCAATTTTTATGTGAGGTTGAAGTAATGTAAAAAGCTATTTTTGATTTATAAAACAATAATATTACAGTTTTGTCAAATAAAATGCTCCAAATCTTGTTTGAGAATAATAAATGTCAGTTTGTCAGCATATTTTAAAACTTAAATTTCTTTTTATTGCCTGCTTCTGAAGTTCTAATAGTTAGAAATGGGAAACATTTATGCCTTGCTATTTTAAAAGCTAGATTTATTAATGGATTATTAAAGATAATTGTGCATTTTGCTTTAGAGGATGATGGTATCACACTGAAAAGCCCAGTCTTTGGAGTTAGTACAGAAGTAAAACTATTGTTCCACCATTTTACTTGCTGTAGAACCTAAACCAAATTAGGCGATGTCTTTGGTAAGTTCCTCATGAGAAAAATTAGGTGACAATTTATATTCAAAGAATTAAATGAGGTAATGTCATCAAGGCCATAGGTTATTTAACTAATTTGAATTAGCCAATGAGCATGAAAACAAGTAAAAAAAAAAAAAATACATCTGACATCCCCTACTGACTTACCAATAGTGGTACTTCCTAGTGCAATTGTTGAGTGAGGGAAATTTCCTGTGGAACCTGAGATTCAGAGTGGGAAGTGGTAAGCAGCACTCTTATTTTACTACAACACCACCCAGATATTTAGAAACAGAACCACCCTGAATGGAGGTGCTGTGGTTCTAGTACCTGATGTGAAAGGAGTGCTTCTGCCCCTCACACCTGTAGAAGTTGTAGTCAACACTCCAGTTGTACCTGAAATTAAAACAAATTAAAAAGGATTTTAGTAGCACAGATAATTTTCATTTGGACTTCTCCTTGATATCTCAAATTGAATTCATTCAAACCTGAACTTGGGACTTTCCTACCGTAAACTGCTATTCCTTTAGCACTCCCTGTTTCAATAAATGATATTATCATCCTAAAAACTGAATGGGTCAGCTTGAAAATTACTGTTAACCAAATCCCCAATTCAAATCATTACCAAATCCTTTTGATGGTACCTCCAAATTGTGAGGGTCTTTCCATTTCCTTGCACCAGCCACCTTAGTTTATTTGAAACTAGGGTCTCTATGGTGACTCAGCAGTACCCTCCAAACAAATCTCTGCTTCTGTTCTCACCTTAAGCCATCCTTCTTCACACTGTATTCTGATTAAAAAAAAAAAAAATGTGTTCCTGGAGTCACTCTTCAATCTCAGACCTTTTGATGGCTTCCCTTAGCTCTTAGGAACAAGTCTAAGATCCTTCACTAGGCCTGCAAGGATCTCATGATCAAGTTCCTTCTTTCTTCCATCATCTACCTTTTTCCTGCTTCCTAGATGGCCACATGAGGCATCAACCATCCTGGCTGCCTTCTGCCATCAACTCTCCAACAGCCTGTGATTTCCACCTAGAACTTCATTTCCATTTTCCTCTCTGCTTACTTAACCTCTTTATCAGACTGGGGCCTACTCATTCTTTGGGACACCAGGTGGAATGTCAATTTTTAACACACTCACCGTATTCTCAGCAATTTACCTAATTCTAATCCTACTGCTGATGTACTTCTTTTCTTATTGCTAATCTTTCTCAAGAGAAGGGACCTTATCAAACTCGTTCACCTCCGTATCCACCTACCTATGATGGTACCTGGCACACAGCTGGCAAATAATAAAAATTATTAAATGAAAAAATATGATGAATGGGATTATTTGAGAGAATCCTATTATTATGAAAAATTTCAAACTTTGTCCTTATGTATAGTTCTGGTATGGTAGCCTTTTTAAATCACCAAATTTTCTTTTAGAGTTTGAATTTGGTGTATCTAAGGATCCTCTGGGACTGTCCTTTGGGGAACACCTTTCTCTTCTGCACTAGTTGGCATCCATTGCCACAGGAGGGAGTATGGTGCAGTAGGTAAGGAAGAGGTCTGGTGCCAGACCTCGTAGCTTCACTTCTTCCTAACTTGCACCTGCTAAACTACTCCTTGACTTCCTCATGTGAAATGTTAACAAAAGCACTTATTTCACTGGTTGGTGTGAAAATTAATTACATGTTGTATAACTTAGAATAGTGCCAGGCTGTCCGATAGTATGCAATATTGTTTTCCTAACTTAGTTTTAAAGTTCATTTAAGATTTGTCTCCTGATGGAATCAACATTGTGAAAACAATTCCTATTCTTCTGTTATAGTCCTAAACCACATAAAAAGATAAGTCTAGGAACTAGATGATTTTGATCTAATTTTCTGATTTCCTTACTTACAGAACACCCATTACCATAATTATCAGAAAACCTCATGTTGCACTACAGTCTAGGCCAATAGTGTCCCTTCTTGCTTGCCTGATTTTCCAGGTGTGGTTCCTGTGGTTCTGCTTTCTACTCCAGTGGTGGATCCATATGGCTCTTCAGTTGTGCCTGGTTAAGGAAGTAATTGATTATGATTTTTACATGGTTAACTTTTATAAAAATAATAAAACTTTCTGATATTTAATTGTAAATTTAAAAGTTGATGAATCTAGATCATCTCTTGATCATTTTGCCTAAAATTGAAGTCCTTGGTTAAAATACTTATTATCATAGTTTGGGTCTTAGCCACGCTTCTGTTGGGCCACCACCAGAGCACCAAGCAAGCCATGTATGCTTTGTTCCTGAAGTAGTAGCCCCAGAGCTTGGTGCTCCAACTGTGCTTCTTGGGACTGGACCTGTGGTAACACTACCCTGCCCCACAACTTCTGGTTATACCTTTTATTTTAAAGGAGCAGGATGAAAACAAACTTCTCAAGAAGACTGAGAAATCCATTTAAAATCATAATGTTCTGTCATCTTCCCTCTCTACCTCATCTGCTGTTGTTTAATTCTCTCCCTTGTTTGATGTGACTCTACAATTTGTATTTGGGGTAAAAATGGGAGTTCATAACTCACTTGAATCAAATGTATGAAAGATGATATGTCATGAGCTTTGTAATGTTTTGAACAACCAATAAAAAAAATTAAAAATTAAAAAGGTACTGAATGCAGAAAAAACAATAAAATAAAATAAAATCATAATGTTCTGAAAAGCTCCTATCAATATTCATCAATTTCAGTTCTCAATACCTTTTTAAATTGTGGTCTATATTTATACAGATTCAAGTACTGGGACTCTGACCAAATACTAAGTTATCCAATCTAATCAAACAAAGCCTTACTTTCTGGTTCTCTTGTAGTTCTTCCTGCCTCATAGGTGGTACCAGCTGATGATGCAGTTGTCCCTGTTCCTTCAGATGATGCACCAGTTAGCTCTGTCACTCCAGTTGACAGCGTGATCCTTTCAGTAACTCCAGCAGATGGTGAAATTGTCCCTGATGGACCAGATGTCTCTGTCACTCCAACAGACTGTACTGTTTGCCTAGATGCTGTGACTGATGGGCTACTTCTGACCGATCCTCTAGATGAGGGTCCAGTTGTCTCAGATCCTGTAAATGAAGGTCTGGTTGTTTCTGACCCTATAGTAGATGGTTCAGTTGTCTCTAATGGTCCACTTGTTCCAGATCCTGTAGCAGACAATCCTCTTGTCCCAGTCACCCCAAGTGATTGTCCAGTTGTTGGTGTCACTTTAACTGATGTTTCAGTTGTCTCTGTTACTCCTGATGATGATGCAGTTGTCTCTGTTACTCCAGTTCTTGTCACTCCAGATGACTGTCCAGATGTTCTTGTATGTCCAACTGATGATCCAGTTGTACCAGATTCTTCAACTAATGGTCTTGTTGTACCTGAGTCACCAGCTGATGATCTAGTTGTCACTCTTACTCCAGATGATTTTCCAGAACTCACTTCAACTGCAGTTGTTCCTGTCACTCCAGTTGATAGTATAGTTGTTTCTGATCCTGTAGTGGATGGCCCAGATGTTTCTGATTCTCTGACTGATGATTCAGTTTTCTTTGTCACTTCTGATGATAATCCAGAAGTCCCAGTCACTCTAGCTGATGATACTGTTGTTCCTGTAACTCCAGATGATTGTGAAGAACTCTCTGTCACTTTAGGCGATGTTCTTACTGTCTCTAATTCTGTAACAGATGGTTGAGTTGTCCCTGTCTCTCCAGCTGATGGTAGAGTTGTCTCAGTCACACCTGGTGATTGTCCAGAGGTTCCTGTCACTCCAGCTGATGTTCCAATGATCTCTGTAAACAAGTAGTAAAAGTAATATGATGTCAACAGTTGGTTTGGTCTTTGGTTAATCGTAGTAAGGATTCATGTTGCTTTCTTTCTCCACTATTTCTTTCATACCTCATCTCCATAGCCACTGAGACCTCCTCTCATACTTTTCATTTTGCTACACTTAACATGTTCCTGTTTGGTTATTCCTTTAAGAATTAAATATTCAATATCTAATGTATATCAAAGAAATTCTCAGAGACTTAGAAATATGCCTTCATTTTATCATCAGCACAATCCTGAGAGATATGTAAAATTCCTTGTACTGAAATACCAAAATTTATTTCCTAATTTCACTCAAGTACCAGGTCAGTATTCCTCCAAGTTCTGACTGTAGTCTCCATTCAACAATGTTGTCTTTTGCACACACATGCATATATAATGTGTACACTGTAAAACACATATGCATATGTACATATACCCCTTCTTTTCATAAGGCTACAAATTATATGCATGACCGTTGCTTGCTTTTTGTCACTTAATAAATTTTAGAAATAGAGCATCATGTAGATTTCTTTCTTACTCTTTTATTAGGATGACCCAATACAACTTTATAACATTTTATTCAGTGTGTTGTCTTTGATTGGAAGTGTTGTCTCTAATCTTTTAAAAAACAATGCTAATATGTATAGCTGGTCTATGTGTCATTTTGTACTTTGGTTGTACAACTTCACCATAGAGCCCTGGAAGTGCGATTTCTGAGTCAAAGTGTAAATTAATCTGTAATTCTTTTAGATTTTGCCAATCGGCCCTCCTTGGGGTTATAACATTTTGTGCTCCCACCTTCATCATACAGAGCACCACCTGTTTCATTCCAGACCTGTCAACAGGGCTATTGTCAAACTTTTGGATTTCTGCCAATCTAAAAAGTAAGAAATGATTTCTCAGTGTAGTTTAAATTTGCACTTTGTATTTATGTAAAGTTGATCATCTATTTCAAATTTCGTGGTTATAATTGCTATCTAATCCAGCTTCTTCATAACTTCAAAAAATGTTGAACAGTAAATGATAGTATCTATTCTTACTCTATGTCTACTATCAGTAGAATGGGTATAGTAATTCCGTTCATTCCAATGTTCTTAAGTGGGTATTTTTTATGCAAATAGTTTCTGAATGTTTTCCAAGTGCCATTTTAGCTTCTGTTTAGATTTTTTCATTTCTCTTAGGTGTATTAATATGAACTACATTAATGAATTTCCTAATTTTAAAAAATCTTCACTAATATTATTAGAAATTACTATTAAACATTATTTTCCTCCTGTTTGCTCATTTTTTCTTGTTTATCTAGTTATTCATTCACTGATGTGTCAATATTACTTTTGTTCTAGCTTTAGAGCTACAGTGAAAAATAGTCAGTGCTATAATCTTTTTGTTAAAAGTTTTTGAAACATCTTTTGTTTAACACTCATCCTCCAGTGAATTTATTAGGAGGGCCTCATGGGTACACAATTCTCCAAATTCCTTCATGTTTTAAATTATGTTTCTATTGATAATCACAGTGTGTTTTGTATTGAGACATAATGTTTGCACATCTTCATGAAGTGTACAATGGTAGTTTATATACAATGTGTAATAATCACATCAGGGTACTCCAAATTTCCATCTCTTCAAACATTAATCACTTTTATGTACTAGGAATTTATATTCTTTTTTCATTCATTTTATATCATGAATTGTTCTAACCTATAGCTCTCTCAGTATGCTAAAGAACCAGAAGTGATTCCTCACTCTGTTTCAGGGACCCTTATTGAGTTTCTTTCCCACCTCTCTCCCAATGCCCTTCCCAATCTTTAGTGGCCACTACTTCATTCAATTATTTTATTACGTTGACCTATTAGTTTCCACAAATTGGAGAATGAATATGTAGTATTTCTTTCCATGCCTAGTTTATTCTACCTTACATAGTGAACCCCAGTTACATCCATGTTGCTGCAAATCACAGGATTTCATTCTTGCTGTGGCTGAATAGAATTCCATTTTTGTGTGTGTGTGGTGGCACCTTTTCTTTATCCATTCATCTACTGATGGGCATCTGGGTTTATTTCATATTTAACTATTGTGAATTGTGCTACAATAATCATGGGAGTGCAAATATCTTGTAGGTACAATGATTTCATCTCCTTTAAGTACATAGCAAATAATGAAACTGATGGATCATAAAGTCATTCTATTTCTAGTTTTTGAGGACTCCCATACTCTTTTCCATGAAGGTTGAACTAATTTACATTCCCACCAACAGTGTGAAATAGTCCCCCAATTTTTCCATATCCTTGCCAGAATTTGGTGTTTTTGTTTGTTTTTTGTTGATAGTCACCGAATTGTGTTTAAGGGAATACTAACATCCTTGGCCCACATTTTCTTTCCTCCAGTATTGTACAGATGCCATTCCTCTTTTGACAGATCTGATACTAATCTGATTTTACTTCTTTGTTAATGAAGCTCCTTTTGCCTTGAGGTACAGATAGCTTATTTCTTTATCTTTTGAGTTACAGAAGTGATAAAGTGACTATTTAGGATCAACTCATCCAGAAGCAGGGAAGTGACCTTCAAATATGTAGAGGTAGTTGTTTTTTTATTTCTGAATTTTTTTCCTAATTTGCAAGTTTGAACATTATATTTAATTGATGTTTTCTCTAGAAATGCAATAATACATATGTTGGATTTTTTGTCTATTGTAATTTCCTTCTATAGTCCACTTTATCTTTGTTTAAAGTACAGTATCTAACATTTTGGAGGTAGGTGGCCTCTTTTCAATTCTACCCTCTAAGCCTCTTGCTGCACTTTTTGCTTTATTTATTCTTTGTTGGGCAGCTTGAGAGTTGGTCTTTACTTTTGACATAGATTTTATATTTCCTTCAATTTCTCTCCTCAGTTTTCAATTCCCATTTAACTTATTCCTGTTTTTATCTACTTTTACTCCAAATTCTCTAATTTATATTTTTGATATCTCTTGTCTGCATTTCCTTTGTTATTTTAAATTCATGTTAATGTTATATTCTAGTATTCTTGTGTTTCATGACTAGATATTTAGAATTTGTCTAAGTTTTCAAATGAATTTCAACAATAGCAAAGATATAGCTATTGATCAACAGCATAAATATTAGAATTTTTTTCTTCTTTTCTTTTTCACACTGTTTTTTCCTGGTCCTGCAATAGCTAAAGTTCTATGCAGTGAGTGGCAGTGGGCCCTTTGTAGGCTCCCCATATTTCTCAGATCAGGGGCTTCCTCTTATGCTCTTAGAGTGAGGTGAAGCTTCTTTTATAACTGGTACCTTTTCTTTGTAGTATTCATTATTATCCTATTTTATTACAACCCTTGTCTTTACAGCCTTCTTTTTTTTTCCTTTGACACCAAAAACTCTTCTATCTTGCAAAACACCTCCCTCTCCTCTATAAGTGGTTGGTGCCTTCCAAAGACCTTTAGTTCTCATTCCATGCACTCTCCAGTACTTTTTCAGCTACACATTCATGAGTGCTCTGACCTGCCAAGTTTTGGGTCTTTTCTTGGTATTTTCCACTCAAGATGGGACCTTTCCTTCTGGAGCCAAATCCTAGCTGTATGTTCTATAGCCTTATGACCTCTCTACAATTCCCTCTCTTCTGAAAGATCCTTGCCTGAATCTTAACTCCACTCTGAGCTACAGTTCTATCTTTCCTAGCCTTTGGAATCCTACTTTCCTCTGTCCACTCTAAACCCTCTAGGTGGGGACTCTATGTTGATCTTTAGGGTTTTGTAGGAAGACAGTATCTGTACATTCTAAATTATTCAGCCACCATTTTCCTGCTTTTTTTAAAACAACATTTTTTTTTTCTGTTTCTTTGAGTTCTGTGAGTATCTGTACAAATTAAGGATCAAATTGATACAATGCAATTTAGTTACTCATGGTATTTGAGGGAATTTTTGTGTATTTGAATATTTAATGAGCTTATCAAATAATTACAACAGAGATATAATATTTAAGAGCTTGGATCAAGAAAACTTCTCCACAGATACAGCTGTGAACCCTTTACCCTACTGCATCATTCCCACAGGTGAATATAGTATGTTCATAAAATTGTGCTGCGAAGTCCTCTTACTTAAAAGCTATTATTAGTTGCACTGAAAACATGAATGTAAAGGGCTATATCAGCTTGGCTCTACAAGAGTGTTTTTTTCTATCCCTTATCAGGCTGTGATAGCACTTCCTGTTTTATGCTTACCCAATAATAAGCCTGTTTTTTATTCTCTTCTTTGTGGAGAGAGTTTCTGGGTTTGGAGATTTTTTTAAAAAATTCTAATCCCCAACAACTAATATCTTGTCAGTCCCTTATTCCACAGAAATTGACTATATCCTAAAATTTTACCCGGCTTTCCTGGGGGTTGTGAGGTTTTATTCAAAGTTAAGGCATTTTGGCTCATATTACACAAAGCATAATAGGTACTTTTCAAAATAAAATTATTCTATTGTTTAAACCCCAACTAATCAGCTCCCTTATTAGAACTGATCTCAATTGCTATTTCAACACTTGTCATCCAATGATTCCTCGACTTTGAGTATCTTCTTCTTTGCCTGGTTTCTGTCTTTGGTATATTATAAATATCAATTTCTCCTACTCAGAAATAAAGTTCTGTGAGATTTAGTGACTTCGTCTATTCCTCTCCTATCTTCTCTGGAGCACCTAGTACCTACACAACAAATATTTCTTGATGTATTTCTGATATTCTACAGTTTGACATTGTACAAATTACAATGACTAAACTCCCCAGAAATTTGTCTTGGACAAAATATTAAGAAACTACATTTCCTCTGTCTGAATTTATGCTGATATTGCTCTTTGCCTACCTGATGTTCCAGAAGTGTTTTCACCAGCAATAGTGGAGATTATATTTTTTCCTCCTGTTGTTACTATTAGAAAAAAAAATGGTACTTAGAAAAGTCCACATGGGCTTCCCAGAATTAGCAAATAAAAATACAGACCACCCAGTTAAAAGCAAACCCCAGATAAACAAACCACCATGTTCCAAATATTGCATGGAACATATTTATGTTGAAAAATTATTCCTTACTTAGGTGAAATTCAAATTTAACTGATATCCAGTTTTGTTTTAACACTGGGAATCAAAACTAGGGCATCCAGCATGCTAAGCACATAATTTACTACTGAACCATATGTTCACCCTATATTTTTTTCTGCCAACCCTAATCTATATAGATGTTTTTGATAAATTGCTCTTGGAAGAAATTTCAGACGTTTTCATTATAAGGGGGACTCCAGGATTTAACTCTCTATGATCATCTATTCTAAATTATAGACATGTTTAAATTTGCTTCCATATATGAGAAGTTGGGATCCCAACTAAACTCACAATATACGTGACTAAAGTGACAAGAGGACCTAGATGTGCCCTGCTGAGTTCCAAGGTGAGCTAGAGCTAGATGCTCTAGCAGTGAGGCCACTGCAGGTTCCAGTGGCATTTCCAAAAGACTCGTGTATGACACCCGATAATAACACTATTGGAACAACACACACATTATTGAGATAACTCAGCACTGTAGCGTATGTGAAGGGGAGATGTGGAGGAATCAGAAAAATAGAAAATTTCTTAATAATGCTAGTCACTTATATACCATTCTATATCTTTTATTGGATCTCATTTGATAATAAATATCAAGTGAAATCAGCAATACTTTCTGTTGAAAGTATCTTTTTCTGCAAAAGCTATGGCCTCTGAGTGGCATCCACTACTCCCCTGAGTTGCCTGCAGGTAGCCTCTCTTCATTACTTGAGGCTCTCTGGTTGTTTTAATAACTAATGCTCCAGTGCTCTCTTTCAAAGTGAAAAATGAATGTATCATGCTCTTTGATTAAGGGGAATAAATTATACTATTTTCTGCTTTCAAAGTATCTTAACACATATTTGTTTAAAATTTGTCATTTCAGGTTCAGTCTTTATAAATGCTGATCTTAAGAATCCTATATGATTCTTAGAATCCCTGAGTATTTATTTACTTTTGTTCATTAATAGGATTGTTTATCATCTACTTGTGTAATATTCACATACTTGAAGCTAGGCTAACACAGCTAAGAGTAAAACAACATTCAAACCAAACTACATGTACAAGACCAATGGTGAGGCTCAAAAAATTATGTATGATTGGGAGCTTCTTCCAGGGGACAGATTTGATGGATCTGTGAAGGACTCTTCAACAGTTATATTTAAAAATTCTCTCACTTCTCCTTTGCAGCTAGGATTGAAAACCAAAACCCCACGTTACACTCACACCCTCAGAAGTTAAAGGACAGAAGTTCTGGAACCAGTCTAGTTGTCCAGTAACAGATGAATAGATAGAGAAAATGTAATCTGAATGAAGTTTTATTCAGCTATCAAGAAGAATGAAATGTCATTTTCAGGGAAATGAATGGATCTTGAGAGCATTATGTCAAGTGAAATAAGACTCAGAAATTCAAGGGTTTTCTGTTTTCTCTCATATGTGAAAGCTAGAGAGGAAAAAGGAGGGGGAAAGGTTATGAAGTCAGAAAGGAGACCAGTCGAGTAGAGGGGATGGGGGAGGGGGGAGAGAAGAGGAGGGGATGGGAAGAAACTGGGGAGTGAAATTAACCAAATTATATTATGTGCATGTACAAGTATGTCATAATTTATCCCACTATCGTGTGTAATTACAATGAAAAAAGAGGCTTAAAGGGATTGCCGAAATCATTATAGCCATAAATATACTCAGAGGGCTACTATGAATTATACATGATTATAGATACACCTTCTAATCCAGCTTTCCCATTACTATCTGTAAATAGTCAGGAATGGATTCTCCTACTCTAATCTTAAACTAGTCCAACATTTCTTTACCATGTTCCAAATAAAGGGAAAGAGGATAGACAAAATATTCCATTTGTCCTCTCACACTCATGGATTCCTCCCTCTACTTTACCTGATTTGCTGCTAGCAGTTGTTGTGACTGGTCCAACTGAGGTCCCATGGCCAGAAGTAATGGAGCCTGTAGATACTCTTGTTGTCCCTAATAACAAGAATAGGTTTGGAAGGTATATTGAACATGCCTATTACTCTTGAGATTTCCAAACAAAAAAAGTGAAGGACACTATCCTTCCAACTTTCCTTAGGCCAACAATATAATTTTTTTTTCTTCTTTTTGGTATCAGGAATGGAATCCAAGGGCACTCAACCACTGAGTCACATCCCTAGCCCTTTTTATTTTTTATTTGGAGACAGGGTCTCACTAGGTTGCTTATAGCCTCCCTAAATAACTAAGGCTGGCTTTGAACCTGCCTCAGCTTCCTGAGCTGCTGGGATTACAGGTGTGTACCATCAGGCCTGGCTTCTAATTGCATTTTGAGTCTGATATTTTAAACCAGCATGTTCTGGTTTAAACGGGCTCCAGTGCCCATTTCTCCAGGGATACTGTCAGGGGTTGCTTCAGATGATACCCTAGCTATACCTGATATTTATCAGGGATAAAAAGCTATCAGACTAAGAAAATATAAAGCCAGAATGTTCTTTTGAAAATGTCCTGACTTCCATTTGTCATCTTACTTTAAAAAAAAAAAAAAGTGGATGTACATATGCTTTAAACTTCACTGACATGTTAAATCAGGAAACTATGTATACTGATGCCATTTTTTAAATAAAATGCAATAATCATGTACCATACCCTTATGATCCAATTCACATATTTCCCCTACTTTGTCTTGATGATTGTTTATTAATTTTTTAAAATATTAATTTCTCTTTTTTCAAAATGAAATTGAGGGTGAAAATGTATATTGCCTTGTTCTTGTCCTGAATTCTACAGAGCAGGAAAGAAAATAATGGGTATATACAAATGTTTGTTTGGCATATTACTGATTCTTTGAATATTTGGCATCACATAACAAGGTTTAGTTTCCCCAGAAAACCCTGTCTGATTAGCAAACAGCTCTCATATCTACTGCCTGGATTTCACTTGCTTACGCTTGTACCTGTCCTTCCAGATGTGTTTTCACCAGCAGAGACAGTTGTGGCTGCATCAGTTCCTCCTCTCGTTGCTAAAAAGAAGAATGGTGCTTCAGACATATGGATAGTTATGAAGAAAACATTCCTTCAGGACATTTGGTGGTTTAATTCATGTCATTAGGTCCTACAACATTGTATTACCATTCCTTAATCTCACTCATTATTATGCCCTGAAGCTGCTGAAGTTGGTATTGGACCCTAGCACAACCTGTAAGGAGGCTCTGTCTTACCTGCGGGGCTTCCAGCACTGGTGGCCCCTGTGCCTGTTGGTCCAGGTGTGCTGCCTCTGACTGCTTCTGAGGTTGCTCCCAGGGACAGTCCTATTGTACCTGACAAACACAGTAGCAGTGCTTGCAACATATGCTAGTTCCTCTGAAGGAGGAGATTGCTTCCAATCAAGACAAAATTTCAATCTTGTGCATTTTCTAAGCCTACTGTTTTGATATTTGTACACAATAATCAGGACTCAGTGCACATCCTGACTTACCTGAACTTCCTGGGCTCGTTGCTCCAGTGCTGGGTTCTCTGGATGTGCTGCCCTCCTCTTTGCTAGGTGTTGGTGCAGTAGGGCCTCCTGTTCCAACTGATAAAAAATTAACCTTTTTTTTTTTTTCAAATTGCCCTGTAAAAATCAACTTATTTAACTTTACAAAAGCCCTCTGAGATGGGTAATATTATTCTTCCCATTTATCAGACAAGGTTTAATGATTTCTCCAGCTCCATGCAATGGTTGACAGCAATCCTGGCGCCAAACTCAGTCTAGTGCCAGAATATATTCTCTGCTTCTCAAATAACCTGTGACAAAAATGGATTTGTAAAATTTCCAGTCTGTCCTAGTACATGCTTTGAAAAATGCCATTAAATTGAGTTATAAAATTTTCAAAAATACGACCATATAAAACACAAACCTTTATTCAATGGACATAAGATCACTGTGCCAAATTGTTGTTTATAAATGCTTGATCTCTATTTCACTTCTTTCACAAAGGGTACCAAGGATTGAACCAGCAGCACTTTGCCACTGAGCAACATCTTAAGTCTCTTATTTTGAGACAAGGGCTTACTAAATTGCTGAAGACCTCGCTAAAATGCTGAGACTAACTTGTAATCCTCCTTCCTCAGCCTCCTGAGGCTGGGATTACAAGCATGTGCCACCATGCCTGGCTATTCTATTTCACTTTGATGATTGCAAATCAAAAGACAGCTGATTTACTTATCTCCCAAGTACTTCTGATTTGGTAATCAATTCATACTAGATTATCACCCTAACATTTGTATCAGTTTAATGGTCTAATTAAAATTACGCAGTTTCTTAATTTTGCTGCTTCATGTAGATTTTATCTTTCCATATGGTAATTTTAATGTAAACAATCTTATTCCAAAAAATATGTTGTAAATGTTAAATTTAGAAAATTGATAGGTTTGAAGGTGTATCTCAGTGGTAGATATGTGCTTAACATGAGCACATATTAGCACAAACATAACATGAGCATTCAATCCCCAGAATTTAAAAAAAAAATCAATCAGTCCATGGAATACTTAATAAATGTATGAAGAGAAGTTGATGCTTATATTAAAGAAATGGCTTTAATGGTATATAAAGGAATCTCTACCTATATTAAGCAATCAAACTACAGAAAACTTTTAAGTAGAGACAGGATGACTGTTATGGGGTTTTTGTGTTTGTTGTTATTGTTGTTGTTCTGGCATGGTATTAACTAAAGTATAATGGAGGGAAGTTGGGAAAGAGAAGAAATAGTGCTCATTAAAGTAGAGAATCACTTCTGTACTAATTGCCTCAAAATTTTGTTAGCACACTAACTGCTGGGCTTCACTCCACCAACTTCCACCACTAGGAAGGTGGGTCTAAAAATGTGTAGTTCTAACAAGTTCCCAGGAAATGCAGATGCTGCAGGACCAGGAACCACACTTTGAGCATGACTGTAACAATATTAGTGAGCTAAGAAGAGGACTATAGAGAATGGGTAGAAAATGAAAACACTTGAACCAAAGCCAAACCAAAGGAGATGAGTTTGAGAAGACAGTTCAGAGGTCATTAAAATTAATGTTTGCTGAAGTGGCAGATTTGAACTAAGGTATGTTTGTTTTCAATCCAATTATCTATGCTTAAGAATGTCAATAATATTTTTTTCATAAACTAATAATGATAGTTAAAATTTAGTCAATGATGGATGCATTTGGAGAACATCATGTTAAGCAAAATAATCTAGACTCAAAAAGATGAGTTCATATGTTTTCTCTTATATGTACAAGCTACAGCAGGGGAAAGAAAAAAAAAAGGATGTCATGAAAGTACAAGTGTAGAGGAAGGAGACAAGCAGAAGAAAGAAAGGGAAACTGACCAAATTAGTTTATATGCATGTAAGACTATGCCACAATAAAATGCAACACTGTATAATATTAACCAGTAAGTTTTTAAAAATAAAATAGAAAAAAATGTAGTCAATCATGTGTAAGGACAAGCATAATCACCTTGACTTTTGTTGGACATGAGTTCTTATACACCCATCACTACTACAAAAGCCAGAGATTGCCCGTGAGGTTTAGGAGTTGGAGTTCTACTCCTGCTTTTTCCAGTGTGGAGACTTTAATATAAATTCCTCATCTTGTGGGAATGATACATAATCGCCACAGTATTAATGTTGACTAAATTACAACATACATATTTGAACATGATTTAGAAATGTTAGTGTGCCAGATTGATATATTAATTAAAATATTATTTATCTTGAATTTTTTTTCAAACTCATCCAGTTGGCTTAGATAATTGACATTCTATTCTCTCAGGGTAAATGTACTGCAGAGCTGAAACAGAAGATTGCTTGTGGAAATATTCTGAGGAAGAGAGAAACTTTGACTCCTTGCTTTGCCTTACCATCTTGGAAGACTGCCTCACTTGTATTCCCATTGTTAGTGGTAGTCCCACCTGGTGACACTCCAGCTGTCTCTGATAAAGGTTAAAAAAAGAAAAGGGGAGCCAGTAAAAACCATGCATGTATACTACCAATTATGAAGGCAGTGGGAGCATATAATTATAACGAGATTCATTAAGAAAGTAACTTGTAAGAAGGCTAAAGATTTGACATTTTAATTACATACAAGGAATAAGCAGCATTGCCTGAAAGAATACTGCTCGGCTAGAGCAGTATTCTTGGCTCTGAACTGGGCTTACCTGCTGTGTCCCCAGGACTGGTGAAGCTAGGGCTCGGTTGGGCTGTGGTGCCTGCACTTCCAGCTGTGGAGGTGATGGGAACTGAAGTTCCAGTAGAGCCTGAGAAAAACCAAAGGAACTTCTCACCTAAAGTCTACCTGGACTTTATTATCAACGAGTAATCTAACTGTCCAATCACTCCTGCTATAGGGAATAGAATAGAGGAATTCATGACTTTCTGCCCAGACTTCACTAACATTTGTTCTAATATTATTTTCTTAAAGATCTTGGTTTAGTCATTAGATGATTGCTCTACAAATACATCTTTCTTCACCTTGTGCCACAGCAGGTCTTCATACATTTGTATCAACCACTCTGCTTTAAAATAAGAGCAGTTCTGATAAATGGCTCACCCTCTGACAGAAGCTGGGACCCCTGAACATCACCCTATACTCACCTGAGTGCCCTTCAGGTGATGTCACTTCACTGCTGGGGGCTCTGGTTGTTTTATCCACTGATGGTCCAGTAGTACCTTTCAAAGGAAATGGTAAATATATGTTATGATCTGTGGTTAAGTGGACTAAGTCAGCTATTCTCTGTTTTAAAAATATCTTGAGGTTGGGGATGTGGCTCAAGTGGTAATGCGCTCGCCTGGCACGCACGGGGCGCTGGGTTCAATCCTCAGCAACACATAAAATAAAGATGTTGTGTCCACCGAAAACTGAAAAATATTAAAAAATTCTCTCTCTCTCTCTCTCACAAACAAAAAAACCCCACTATGTTCCAAATGCTTACTCTCTTGTTTCACTTCTTATCACATCACAGACCATTAATAAACAATCTGGGAGCCACACATCTGGGCACCAAACTCTATTTCAAACACCTTATTTACTTTTTGATAGCAAAAGAAGATCACTGAATGAGATGTCCTTATTACCCAAGTTATTTTGAGTCAGATTTTCTGAATATAAACAAAATGGTCAACACTTTAAATTTCAATAAGTTTACGGACCCAATGGGAATTACCAAGTTTCTTTATGTTCCTGCTATGTGTAAACTATATGATTTAGCCTAGTAATTTCAATGTAAACAGCAGCTTATTCAAAACAATATGTGTCATGCATTTTAAATAAAAATAGCTTATCAAAAATACTGTAGAAGAAACACAATCATGCAATAGATTCATTAATAAATTCAGAAGAAGTCCTACGCACACCTGAAACAAATGTCTCATAATGCTATATAAAGTTTTGATCTAAGACACTAATTTAAAAAATAAGTAAATAGGAGAAAGATCAGTAGAGTAAAGTGAAGGGAACAGGGCAGGGATGGTAGGAAGGGAAAGTAAGGGGAAGCACTGGAGACTGAATTAGAACAAATTATATTCCATGCTTTTATAATTATGTCAAAGTAAATTCTTTTTATTTGTTCTTAGTTACATATGACAGTAGAATGTATTTTGACATATTATACATATATGGAGTATAACTTCCCATTCTTCTGATTGTTGTGGAATTACATTGGTTATGTATTCATACATGCATGTAAGAAGTAACATCTGATTCTTTCTATTAGCTTTCCTATTTCTAATCCCCCTTCCTTCTCTTTATTCCCCTTTGTCTAATCCAAAGTACTTATATTGTCATATATAACTCAAAAAGACGTCCAAAATTAAAAAATTTAAATTAAAAAAAAACAATCATCAGTATTTAATGACTTTAAATAGTACAGACACAGGATAAGAGTTGAGCTTTGGGGAAGTCATTCTGACATGACATTGTTGAAATGTAAACTGAGAAGGTGGTTGAAAAAGAGTGGGAATTGTGGAGAAGTGCTTTTCCACCTTGAGAATTAATTCCCTAAAAAGCTTACTAACATAGTCTGCTGGGCTCCACCCCAGCACTTGCTGATGACAGTCAGGTAGACCCAGAAATGTGCCCTTCTAACAAGATCTCACAGGATTTCGATGCTGCTGGTCCAGGAACCACATTGTGAGCATCGTGGTGTTAGAGGAGGAAGATAAGCAAGGCAGAGGAATGCAGGGACTGGGGGAAAAGGTTTAACAGCTGAATGCAAGAGGACACTTCAGAGGTCTTTAAAATTTGTAACTGATGGTATCTGGGACAATTGTAAATTTTTAGTCATGCTTATTTCCAGTGTAAATCATCTGTATTTAATATTATCAATGATATTGTATTCCTGGTCCTAACACTGACTGAATTTAATGAATAATGCACAAGCACAAGCTTATTCTCTTGGGTTTTTGTTGGATGAGCTCTTATGCAGAGGTTATAGAACCGAGGGGCTAGCCAATGCAAAATGAGGCTTTTCAGTACAGGTTCTAAACCAGAATTTCCAGCTTGGAAATTTTTATTATTTTCTTATCTCATGGGAATAATGACATATAATGGTGTAAAGGTTGACTATATTACAAAATACACTTGAGCATAAGTCAGACAATTTAATGGGCCATAGAACAAGGTCATTAATGTTTTATATAACTGCAAACACTAACTGTAAAATATTTCCCAAAGTCATAGATAAATTGCCCAATTAAGAATTATTCCTGTCAATTCTAAGGCTCTACTCAAAGGAGAGATTGCTGAGGCAAAACATCATTGGTTGTATAAATATCAGATTTTCCTTATATCTTTGTTTCACCTGCTCAGAAGCTCTGTCACTTGTACATCCCCTACAGGGTCTTAAATGTATATCTGGTAGCACTCTGCCTGTCCTTGATGAAGGTTGGACTATACCCTCTACCAACCTGATTTGCTGCTAGCATAAGTTGTGACTATTCTAGCTGAGTGCCCTTGGCTAGTACTAGTGGGGCCTTCAGAAACTCCTATGGTTTTTAGAGCCAAGACCAGTATATGGGGTTTGGAGAATACATATTATTCCTGCAAACCCTATGAGTCATTGAGAGTCTCCAGATTTAGAAAATGAAGAAAATGATCCTCATAAATTTTCTTGCTCCACCAATGAAATCCAAGTTAGGGCCTGATTTTACAAAAGGAGGGCATGGATCATAAATGCATATGCATCACAACCAGAAGAGTGGACCTCACCTGAACCAGTGGATGCAGTCTCTGCCTCTCCAGGTGTGCTGCCACTTTGAGCTTCAGGGGTTACTCCAGATGATGCTCCAGGGGTGCCTGAGATTTATCAGGGAAAAAAATAAGTCAGCTTAAGAAACCTAAAGGAGGGACTTCTTATCAACAATGATCTGGAATATATTTTAAAATAACAGATGGATTTACCCTATAAAATTCACTGGCATCAGATATTCTTTCTCAGGGTAAATAAGGTAAATCAATTAATTCTGAGAATGTACTCTTTGAATTAAGTTATTATTGTTAAAAATAGTGTAATCATGTCAATAAATCATGATTAAAGCTTGATATCCTTTTCCTTGTACACTAGAACTATCTTATGATCCAATTTGCATCTTTCCCCCTCTTGATTGCTGTCTTACTTATTGTCTTCATTGCTATCTTACTGTGCTCTTAAACATATTACTTATTGCAACTAGATGGTTGTTAACTTCTGTTTCCCACTTGGCACTGGGTGACATCAGTTAGATTTCCCTAATCTTTCACCATATTACACAGTGACTCTAAGATGTATTAAGAACAAAACTCAGACTTGATATATTCATGATTTTCTGGAGAATTGGCTACACCTCAACCATAATGGTCAGATTCCCCAGGTAACACTGTCTCTGAATAGGTTTGGGGCAGAAAGCTCTCACATCTACTGCCTGGATTTCACCTG